CACACACACACACACACACACACACACACACACACACACACACACACACACACCTTCTCGAGGGATTGGATCTGCTGTTTGTGTCGCTCATCCAGGGCTTGGCTCTGGTTCTGCAGGGCCTCCCTCTCCTCCTCCATCCTCAGAACCTTATCCTTCAGCCGGCTCCGCTCGTTGTCCAGGTCCCTGATGGCTGCTTCCTGGGTCATCTGGGTGGCCTGCAGGCTGCTGATTTGACCTGAGAGAGACACAGAGAAGAACGCAAATATTACAACAACCTGCATCAGCAGGTTGGACTTAATAAAAAAATTTTTCCATATAAAAACAACACCGGTAGAAAAGAACGCTGTTGTCAGCAGATTGTTTTGTAACTTTTGAACCCGGGGCTGATCAGCTAAAATTTTCTACAAACAACTTCTATAGACAATAAATTCTTGGCACCAAGTCAAGCTTGGATTGGACTCCATCGGGGCTCCTTGTCCTGTCTGTGATCTCAAGGTGTAGTTATGGAGAAAAGGGTGTCTGGTTTGATGACCACAGGGTTTCACTTTATGCAGATGATGTAGTTCTGTTGGCGTCTTTGGCGCAAGGTCTTCAGCGTGCACTGGGGTGGTCAACTCTAGTGGAGGACTATAAGTATTTGGGTGACTTGTTTATGGCTGATGGATCGACAGATTGGGGCTTCATCGTCAGTAATGAGTARGTTGCTTCAGTCGGTCATGGTGAAGAAAGAGCTGAGTCAAACGGCAAAGCTCTGGATTTACTCATCTGTCTACATTCCAACCCTCACCTGTGGTCATGAGGCGTGGATCATGACCAAAAGAATGAGATCCTGGATACAAGTGGATAAAATGAGCGTGTTCAGGTTCAGACTTAAGGCCTCTTTCTACTCCCTCAGAGGAGTGAGGACCTCAGAGTAGAGCTGCTGCTTCTTCGAATCAAAAGGAGTCATTTGAGGTAACACATTCTCACTCCCGACTCGTCACATATTGATGCTTTTCCAAGGTTCCCTCTGCGTCTTATTTTGACGCATCAGGTACACCCATAGCGTCAGTTATTGACTCACCAGGCATTTCCGGGTTCCCTCGGCGTCCAGGTTTGACGCGTTGGGAATCAACATATAGGGGTCTTTGACTTGAGGTCCGTGGTTAATATTAGGGATCAGGGTTCATGGTTAATTTTAGGTAGTGGGGTCAGGGATAGGATGTTTAGGGTTAATTTTAGGTAATTTTAGGGTTTGGGACATGTAGTTCACGTGAATTTCCTACACTTTCTAAAAATGGTTAATTTTAGGTATCAGGGTTGATGGTTAATTTTAGGTACTAGGGTCAGGAACAGGACGTCTAGAGTGAATAAAMGTAATTTTAGGCTTTGGGARGGTTAGGTTTTGTGCATTTTCTACACTTTTTGAAATTATGACAACGGATTCCGCCCCATCTCATCAATAACTGACTAGGGCTGTGTATTGGCAAGAATTTGGCGATACGATACATATCATGACAGAGGGGTCACGATACGATATATCTCGATATATTGTGATACTGTAAGCAAGGCGATATATTGCCATTTTTTGTCCAGAAATTCTATTAAATAAAAACCTKTTACCGAAAAAATGTAATGTTGGAAAAAAGAGTGCACAAGACACTTAATTTGGTTTAAAATACAGACATTCTGACAAATAAGTAACTGTTTGTAACCTTACCTCAGCTTAGAAG